TACGTTCGGTCGTTTCGTATCATTTGTCGTGGTACCAGTAACGAGGCAGCCAGTCTCTGCGTCTATTGCTACACTCCACCAAGTAGCCCCTCGGACTCTCGGGGAATTAAGAACTTCGAAGCCGCACACTCGCAGACTCTCAATCAGCTGTTTGATGTTTACATGCCCGCCGTCGGGACACCACTGATGGCCTGTGGCATGGATCCAGGGGAACACAAAGGCCGCCTCCAGGGGTGTGTTAGTGTGAAGATGGGTGATCAAATTAAACGAGTCGTACGGCTCGACATGCCCTCCAGATACTGCGTGGTATGTGCGCCGTGTTATGATGAGTGTTGACCCACAAACTCGGCTTTATAAAATCCGGGGGGGGGGGGGGGACATGTCATTTTGAAAAACTCGTGGATGAACTTTTACTGCTTATCGGTATCTGGGAGACAGCCAGCATCACTCATCTCCTGAGGCTTTGTGTAAGCATGAATGCCGGGTTTTAAACTCCAGCGGGACGGGCGGAGTGAACGAGAGCCGCTGACAGGAGACAGGAGGAAGGAAGAAAGTAGTAAAGTAAACTGTGCACTGTCACAAAAATACTAATGGTGCAACGTTTACGCCAGTTTTTCTAATGCTGACGCACAAATACGGTTTTCCAAGGTCGACACATCTTTAAGACAATGGTAACTTTAAGTTGGTCAGACACGGGCGTGACAACAGAAAAAAGAGAGAGGTTTATCCTTCACAGCTCGTCTCTTACCACAAAAGCATATTAATCACATCCCCGCTATGGTTCGGACTACGGACATGCGTGGAAACCGTCTGCAGTTGGGATGGCGCAATAGCCTAGCAGATAGCGGCTTGTCTTTCTTTTCAAACACCTACTCCGTCACCCTGTCGGCTCTGCCCCGAGCAGAGGCAGCGTCCAAAAATAACACCATCTGACATCCACGTAAGCCCCTCTGTGAGCTCTCTGATCTGCGTCGGATAAAAGCCTAACCAGGTAGAGTCGGGCAGGTGGAGAGTCTTCATTTCACCGTTATTCGGGGCGAAAGATGAATCATCCATCGGCGCTTGTCTTGGCTTGCATACTTTAGCGGTGAACCCGAGCGACCTTCTTTTCACGTTGTGTTCTGGGTATGAACCTTTTTTTTTATTAGCTGCCAGGTCTCCTCCTCACAGTGAGCAGAGGAGAAGTAGTGGCCTGAAACCAAGAGGCAGATCAGATAGACAGTACAAACCTCACGCTCACAGCTCCTGGAGCTACCGGGTCAAATTCGTGGAGGAGTGAATATTCTACAAGTAGATGCTTGTGGCATCATGTAACATGGAACACGGGTCTTCAGGCGGATATCTTCAGCTTGAGCAGAGAAATATTTATTCTAAAGACGTAAGGTTAGAGAGACACCGACCACCAAACAAGTGTGCCGCCATAACTCGCCTGAAATAAAGTTCACTTTGAACTTCATATAGAAGCCACGTGTGCGTGCGTCTGAGTGTGTGTGTGCGTCGGACCAAACTCACGGCCAACGGACAGCGGCTAATTTCCAGTGACAGGAACTCTTTTCATTCTCTGGGGCCTTGTCTGTCCTGAATTATTAAAAGAGGGGCCTCACCAGCGGCCCTGCACTGTCCTGTGTTTGATGCCTTTTTAATATTGGGCTGCTGACAGATTAAGGCCAGCAGCGATACGCCTGGATGTGTGATACGTATGAGGGTCCCCCCCGCATGCTGACTCTAATAACAGTACTCTTTAGGGGGAGATGTGGTCCGGCGGCCTCTGGTGTTGATGATCCCCCATTAGTGTAATGTGCGCGATCCCACTTAAAACCTGAACCCTTTCATACGACATCAAAGAGACAGTCGCTTTGGGAGGTGTGCGAGAGTGTGTGTGTGTGTTTAATTCACATCAAAGACCTTTATAAAGATGACAGCGGTAAGACACGCGAGTCATTCTCGTCCCAAAGGTTACAGGAAGTCTCATTTGAGCCGTGGAGCGACATGGGTGCCCGTTTTACAGACGTCAGTCACGTGCATAAAAACAGGCCGGCGTTTCATGCAAAAAATGCACCCACCATCTCCCCACCCACAATCCTGTCTGTTCCAGTGAAAGTCTGGTGTTTGAAATAATCTGCCCACACCAAGTGCCCCGAACACTTGAATCTCCTACTGCTGCTGGAGACGAATCCCCCTGAACAGCAGCGAGCGAACAGCAGCTCGACCGGCGGGTGGAATAAACATGAGCACTAATCCAAGTTAAATCGAGTTACACGAGGTCTGGGATGAGTTCAAAATGTACCCCTATACACTAAACTGGCTTGAATGCACAGACCCCCGCCCCACGGTACTCACTGCAGCCCGGGACCGGGCGATATACTCAGCCTCCATCTGGGCCAGCCGGAGGTTGGTGTCCTCCAGCAGCTCCTGGATGTTCTCCGTGTGTTTCGTCTGCAACTTGAACTTGTCCTGCTCCATCTCGGTCACGGCGGCGTGCAGCTGGCGGGGGCAGAGAAGCACTCTGCGTCAGCCACACATCAGTGTCCCTGTACCTTTGTTCGTTTCATTTTGGCCACCGTCTCTTTTTTTGAATGTTTCTCTAAACACATTTGTTTACGGCCATATTATGTTTTGGTTTCTTTTAATGATCGCATCGAAAATTGTAGCTCATTGCATGCGAAGTGGTCCTTAGATGAGTAGGTACGTCATTAGGATCTTATTGCGCTCGATTAGCTAGAACCATCAGGAGTAAAAACACCCAGTTGCTCAGTGCAGAGAACATTCATTTTTCAGCGCAAAAAAACCCCACATTAAGTTCAGCATACCATGACAGAATAAATATAGATTTTTTTCTAAAGAGTACAGCAAAGCTCGGCTGCTTCCGGCCAAGTCTGCCTGACACATCACACGGCCTTCCCCGGGCTCAGGGCTGCAGGACATCCCAACCCCCCCACCCCCCCGTACCTTCTTCTCCCACTCGTTTCTCAGGGAGTCGGTGCTCTGATCCGACGTCTTCTTCAGCTCAGCGATCAGCTTCTCTCTGCTCTCGCAGGCCGCCTGGGACTCCCGCGTCACACTTTGAACTGTGCAGCGGCGCGCGCACACAAACACAAACACGGGGAGAGCAGTCATACCCCCGAGGCCCTGACCGCTGATGCCCGGGCAGTCAGTCAATGTTAGTACAATGATCATGCATGTGACCCACAATAGCAAAAGAAAGGTAAGGCAAAGATAAAACGAATTTTAAAAATGTAAGATTAGGCAGCACAGCTGGAGAACGTCGCGCTACACCAGCGAGGCCTCTGGTGCAGTTGTATCTTTTTGGGGCTATTTGCACGGAGTGTTCAGAGACACTACTATAAACATCCTTCCAGTTAACCCCGCAATCCCGTGACCTCTCACCTTTCCTCTCCAGCTTACGGATCGTCTCCTCAGATTCTTTCTGCTTGGCCCGATGGAGGCTCTTAGTCTCCTCGATCTCACCATTCTTTCGGTCCAGAATCTCGGGAGGGAGAGGGAGACATTTTTTTTTTGAATTCACACTAGAATTCATATTGACATTGGTGTTACTCAAACAAACAACAAGGCAGAATAAAACACACATTCGGGCTGAAATGGCAGAAAGTAAGAGTGGTTATATCTCCGTTGACCACCGTCCCAAAGATCATGAGACTTTATCTTTCTAGTATTTTTGTTCTATGGGAGTGCACTTATTTGCCAAACATGTCGGCCTCTCTGTGCGAAAGGGACGGGGGGAGATGAAAGGAGGACGGGGGCGATTGGAGCCAAGGTCGCCAAACATTTAGGGACACCATTTCTTCCATTTGTCCAGCCCAGGGGCGCTTGTGTTTTTAAGGTTCCACCGCGCAAGGCGGGGAAACACAGTCGGGGGCCACGGAGAGTGCACTAGAACGTGGGAAATGAAAGCTCTTAGGGGGCTCAATTTAGGCTTTTATAAGACATCCTAATGCATGGGGGCGGAGGGTGCAGGGGTGGGGGGGTCCAACCGGCCATCCGTGACTAACCAGTATCACCAGTGAGAGGAGGGAACTGGAGAAACAAAGAAACTCACCTGCAACATCTGGGAGTTAGAAAGCTAGCATTAATAAATAAATCTACACAACACAGTGAAACTCAACCACGATTCACAACAAAAAATACACAAATGTAATTGAATCCCAATGTCATTAAAATTAGGAATATAGTTATTAACAACCCTTCTGGATTAAACTGTCTCAGATCATTAGCACATCAGAAACACAACATAAAGATGGGTTTCTTTACCGGAGGTTATCATTTAGATATAAACACAGCACGGATCCACAGTCAGCACGCGCACACACACACACACTTCTCTCATTACTTTCTCCACAGTGACCAGTAGGCTTTCAGCAACCTATACATTATTCATACAGTAAAGAGACTCATTAAAACTAAACACAGCTTGCCCACCTTCCATCAGGCTCGTCAGAGGGGCTCTGAATCACTTCCCCTTGAAGCCATTAGAGGGAATACTGGGTGAAATTAAATCGGACATAACTTGCAATCTGTATGTAATTAGAGGAAGGGGGAGAGGGGGGAGAGGGGGGGTAGCTGTCATCCTGTCTCTTGTCAAATACAAAGAACCAATGGGCATCTTTAAGTAGAGAGAAAATCAGGACTGTTTAAAAAAAAAACGTCCTTTTCATGAAAAGCTTCTGCGGCAGCAAAGGGAAGTCGCAGCGGGGACGTGACAGATCCCCGTGCGCTTGATCTGCAGCCTAACTGATGGCCACCGAGTGTGAAGTAAACCAGCTCTGCCGCCGTTTCCACCGGCTGACAAAAGGGGCTTTGAAGAGGCGACGATCCGCGGCGCGGGGCCGATGAGGAGAAGTGAGCTGCGCTCTTTTCCTTTTCATTAGCCGGCAAACGGAATCAATTGGCGAGGACGGGCGTCGTAAGGCGGGTTAACTAGTTTTCATGAACACTCACGTTCACAGACCCGACTGTCCACGGGATGAAAGGTCTAATCAGTGGAAAACTCTGTGTGTGTGTGTTTTCTCATTATAAGTGGAAGAGGATTGCTGAACATTTATTTTCGTTATATATCGACTCAGTTTGGGTTTTATACACTTGGTTCATGGTTGCCTGATGGGATGTGCTAAGCGGAAATAAGCAGAATATTTAGTGTCAAACAAAAGACATCCAGTAGTTTTCGTCATCTAGGCGGTTACGAAAGACTACGGTAAGAACATTGAACTGCAGGACGTCGAATGTGCGTCTGGCTCTCTTTTGCATTCATGATTGATATAAATGAGTCGTAATGAACATATGTCAACAACTTACAGCGTCATCCACGTCTCTGTTATTTCCCCAGAGCCAGATGTATCGTGGCGTGACTTGTGAGGCTGCATAGTTTACACTAGAGTATTTACTAGGATTTAATTATTATTCTTACTTTCTCAACATCTGCATCGTGTCTCTGTTGCATCTTCAACTTCTCCTCCTGGTGCTTGGACTCCAGAAGTTTAATTGTCATCTCAGTCTGGAAACAAAACAGAAAACGTCACACTAAGGACCGCTGGAGCGCTTCAACGCCTAACTAACTAACTCACAAAAGGAAGGAAGACAAAACATCTGCTTGAATGATTAAATCTTATTAAACTTATTTCAAGGCAGCACAATTAATGCATTTTGTTCTCGGGAGCTAAACATTGATATCAGTGCAGTAACGAGCGATGAAGAAGAAGAAAAAGAAGAGTGTGACAGAATCAGAGAGAACATGAATCTGGATAAAAGAAGATAGTGTGTCCCGTCTTGCACAGAAGCGCAGCTGATGATGAAATAAACCACATTAAAACATTTATCTATGAGAAGCGCTTCAAAAAAAAAAAAAAAAAGAGACGTGGCGGCGCTTAGATGTATTCAGCGGTGTGTGTTTTTGTGCGTGCGTACGTGTCAGTCTGCGGCGAGCACAACAAAGTGACAGCCAGTGTGCAACTTCCGAGTACACGTCGCGATTAATCACAAAGAGTGGCAGCCTTTGTCGGCGGGGCGGAGGCCCAAAAGTTCAGCGTTGTCGGAGCGGATCTCCTAAAAGCTGGACGGCTTTCAGGTTTTAGCAAAACAAGAAAAAAATATATATATTCTTCTGGTGGCTTTATACAAAATAATTGTTTAGTTACTCATTATTACTGGAACAATGATCACACCCCTCGGCGTGACGATATTAGTCACAAATATCACATTCTTGTGCCGAGGTCATTACGCGTTTTGCATTCAGCAGCTCTCAGCGAGTGGAGTTTGCCTGACAAAAAGAGCATGCGTTTATGTGAAAATAAAAGTTTACTCGCGTCATTCGTTCTAATGTAAATCATTTTTGGTTAAAAAAAAATAAAAAATTGAAAAAAAGTGACGTTTTCCTCGCTGGCAACTCCTGACACACAAGTCGTCTCCGCCCACCAACACATGGCGAGGCCGACAGAAGCGTACGCGGGAACATGGCTGACCGTTGACTTTGATGTCACTGCTCATGTTTAGTCACCGTCTGTTCCAGCGCGATAATGCCCCCGGGGAGTGGGGGGGGGGGCGCAGGGTGACCGTGTTCTTCCTTTGAAAGGGTGGGTTGTGTCATGTCAGTGGTTAACAATATCCCGGAGACAGCTCTTCTTTGTTCTAGTCATCAAAACTATTAAGTAAAAACATTCCCCGTGTCATTGCTCTGCACAGTCAAACCACATTAGACCTTTTCTGGGGTAAAAATAAAATTAAAATAACTCAAAAAGGACAGCTGGCCCGATTAAAAGTAATATTCAATTATGGCGTGATTAAGTGTTTTAATATTGATACAACACTGTACAGGAGAGACATCGACAGCATTGTGGACGCCTCAGGAAAACACACGCGTCCAGGCTTCGGTGTTGAAATGGTGGCAAATAACCAAAGACCTGTATGTTGTCAAGTATCTGCACTCCACGTCGGAATGTTGGATAAAAACACTTGGAAAAAGGAAAAGCCAAACGAAGACGCATCAAGGTGCCTTTCTCCACACCGACATGTGGACTCTGTATCCTCGACAAAGCTCCGTTAAGGGTTCTTAACTCTCTTCTCGCTTCATCACCATTTCTTGTGCAATTTGGGGGCGGGGGGGGGGGGGGGGCACAGGAAAACTGTCGGAGAAAAAGGAGGAAAAGAGCGAGGTGGCACTGATTGAAAAGCAAAAAAGTGGGGGCTCTGATTCTGCTGGCTGGGGGGTGATTTTGGGGGGGGGGGGGGGGGGGGGG